CTACTACTAAGTTGGAAATAACAGCCCTTCACCCTGATTTAGGGGTATCTTCAATCTTCCTTAGTATCCCAAACTAATCCTTTTATCCCAAACTAATCCTTTTATGGAGAGGGCATGGTCTATCTATTTTGGAAGGTGTCCAAGATTGTCCATTCAATAAGCCTTCATTCAAAGGTGATTTTTGATTCATCAACTTATGGGGGGTTCTTTTACAGGCGATCCTAACAAGCATGTGTTTCAATACTAACATGGTCCAACTTGGATGGTTTGGGAGTCCTTCCATTGTAGGAAACTTCAATATGTTTGTATCTTCGGTTTCGCAAAACACACTCCTTGCAAGTTGAAAACGTTTACTATGGCCCTAAGGACACCGTTTACCACCTCATTCCGACAGTTAAAGCCCTTTACCAGTTTTCGATGGCTGTAAATGGTCGTAAATGATTATAGGTGATGTTATCATTCCATACATGGGGTTGAAACTAACTTATATCTCATAAAGGGATGTAACTTTACCCGAACCTCCTGCAGTGTGGCACAACAATGCAAACTCATGGATCGAAGGCCTTCATGGACGACAGTCTCACTTGGTAGCTGGGTAGTGACCCTATGGCTAATAAGTTTCCTAAAATCCAATTACTTCACCTTTATAATTCAAGTCTTCTATCAATGGCATCACTGAGGTCGGTGTATCTCCTCCCTCAGGCACTGTGCCTGCTGCGCCGCCATCATATCAGGCGTCCGCTGTGCTGTCTCATAGGACCTGAAAATAGGGCATTTACCAGCAATCTATGGCCCTTTTGATAGGGAGAATGATGCTAAATAGTAGTCTTAGTGAGGCATGTATCACGATAAACCAATGGATTCCTAAGGGTTTTCCCATGCAGTAATTTTTGGACAAACCATTCATTTGGTCAAATTATCTATGGGTATCCAAATAGGGCAAAAATGATGATGCGTTTGGGATACCCTAGTTTCAGACAAACCAATGTGTGAGAGGCGCATGTTCTGTTTTTTTCCAAACCATTTTTTTAAAATTCGATGTATTTCGACGTATTTTTCGGATTGGTTGGTGGATGAATAAAGGAGAACACATAGATACAAATAGGGTAACCTCCATTTTTCATAACTGTGCCGGTTAACATTTTGTCAATCCAACTTTCTTTCTTTCCCTTGAACATACATCATTATTTGAGACGGACGATTCTGGTGACCCAGACCCGTGTGACGCCAGCTGAGGCGTCCCCGCTCAAGCCTCAGTGTCCAACTGAAAGAAAACGCCTCAAGCACAAACAACCAGGAACCCAACAGCGAAAGTCTCCAGTCACATTTTGAGGTTTTCATTTGCAACTGAAGGATCCAATCCATTCCATTCACAGTGGATTTAAGGACTTTTGGCAACTTCCGCCCTGAAACGACTCCCAGGTCCCATGGAGCTTATGGACCTCCAGGATATTCACCATGCCCTGGTGGCCACCACGGGTGCCATGGAACGCAGTACGTCCAGCCGATGCCCTGGCCTTACGGCCATCCGCAGCACCCGCATCCACCATGCCATGGCCATCCGGTCCGCGACTGAGTCCATACCTAAAAGGGCCCCAAAATTGCCATTTTCACACGGAAAATGATGCTAAACCAAAGGGTATTAGATGATATTGGGTGTATTCTCAGACAACCCCCCAATTTCGGCCATTCCTTTTAAATTTTAAGGTCGGATCAAAATGGTGACACCAAAAAACAATCGACCAATGGCCCCAAGGCGGCTCCTCGACCTTTTGCGCCACTACCTGGGTGCTGCAAGGGTCATGTCGGCTGGGTCCAATCCGATGATGCAATGGTCACGGTGAATTTCAGCAGGATTTGAGTTTGATGAGTTTTTTCTATGAACAAACCTCGAATCAGAAACTTCCCGCGAATGAGAAACAAAGAATCAGAAACTAAAACCCGCGAACCAGAAACTAAAATCTGCGAATCAGAAACCAAAATCTGCGAATCAGAAACCAAAAACCGCGCGAATCAGAAACTAAAATACAGGAATCAGATACAAAACCCCACGAATCAGAAACTGAGAATCAGAAACTAAAAATCGCGAATCAGACACCAAGATCCGCGAATCAGAAACCAAACAAGCCCACGAATCAGAAACCCAAAAAAACGAATCAGAAACCAAATCTGCCACCCCCTCTGAACATTTTCTTGAATGAGATATTACCGCCAACTTATCCACATAAGGGATCAAACCCGCCACCCCCTCTGAACACAATGTTGAAAAGGATATTGCATTTATTTATATATTTTTTCCTCGTGAGGGATAAAATCCGCCACCCCCTCTGGCCATTATGTTGAATGATATTGATATTACCGACAATCTATCCTCATAGGTGACAAATAAGCGATCAAATCCGCCACCCCCTCTGGCCATTATGTTTAATGAGATATTACCTTCAACTTCTTTTTGTAAGGTATCAAAGCCCCCCACCCCCTCTGAACACTTTGTTGAATGAGATATTGCCTTCAACTTATCTTCATAAAAAAACAAATCCGCCACCCCCTCTGGCCACTTTGTTGAATACGATATTACCATCAACTTGTCTTCATAAGAAATCAAATCCGCCACCCCCTCTGGCCATTATGTTGAATGAGATACTACCTTCAACTTATCTTCATAAGAATCAAATCCGGCACCCCTTCTGGCCATTATGTTGACTGAGTTATTACCTTCAACTTATCTTTATAAGAAATCAATTCCTCCACCCCCTCTGGCCATTATTTTGAACAGGATATTACCTCCAACTTCTCTTTCCGATTGAAGGAGACAAGTTGCCCATTCTGATTGATTCGGCTGGTTTAGTTTCCGATTCTCCGGTTTTAGTTTCCGATTCACCTGCTTTAGTTTCCGATTCACCTGCTTTAGTTTACGATTCAGCTGTGGTTGCCAGTTCCGGGGTTTTGGTTTACGATTCAAGGTTCTTAGTTTTCGATTCACGGGTTTTAGTTTCCGATTCTATTGGTTTCTGATTAACAGGTTTTAGTTTCCGATTAATAGCTTGACCGTTTTCTATGGGCTGTGGGCTGTGGGGTATATCTCATTCAAAGTTCCAGGACCGGGAGTCCAGTGAGCACTGAGGATTTTGGAAGCAGTTGATGGATAGTTGACCATGGCTGACAGCGTTCGGCAGGTACCCGCCCATGCCTCACTACTATCCCTCCCACGGGCATGTGTGTGGAGGCTCAGTTGGTGTTATGCTTGAGAAGGTTGCGAAGCCATGCGCTGTGCATGATCCTTATTATTCAAAAATCATTTGCCTCCAAGAAGGGTTTGACTGGAAAATGCATGGTCCAAAACAGCGAAGCTTTGTTTTTTTGGTACCCCAGTCTTGAGCCTTTGGGCTTCCAGCATTGATTCCGTCTGTGGCAGTTTCGCCGAGGCCAAATGTGCACTACACCTACGCACCTCATCCACACTATCCTGGCTACTACATGTCAGCATCCAAATCTGGTTTTGGGAGGGTTTTGTTGGGAAATTTTCGCACCATCACTACAGTCATAGTGGGTTTTCTTTGCGGCCGCTCAATGAGGCCTGTTCCTGCTATGCCAAAGCCTCAATGACAGAAACAGAAACATGTTGCACACAGTCTTTTAGTCGATTATACATATACACTTACTATATATATCTCTATATATATATATTATATATATTATATGGATATAACGTGTTTCACCGCCCCCACCCAGTGTTTTCAAGTATTATATATGTGCACATTTCAGAAATGTTGCGCACGTTTCAGAGATGTTGTGCACGTGTCAGAGATGTTGTGCACGTTTCCCAGCAGTTGTGCACGTTTCACAGAAGTTGTGCACGTGCGTGACAGAAGTTGTGCACGTTTCACCAGTCCCTAATAACGTTCGTGTTCAACTGCATACACCCTGAGCGCATTCTGATCAGCAAAAGCATTGTGGCGACCAAACACGTTCTCCCGATTCAGTGTATATACATATCCTCTAATATAAATCCCTATGTTTCATGGGTAATCCAACTAACTTGGCCAAGCGCGTGCTGCAAGCGATCGAGGCCTGCGCGGGTCACTCGACTGGCACGCTTTTTTTTGTGGGATGGTTTAAGGGAAACCTGCAAGAAACCACGGTGTTTGTGTGGTTTTTAGCATCAAATATCGGGAAATCCTGCAGCAAATCCCTGCAATTCTGGGATATCAAGCTGTGCGGCCAATGACTCGCCAAGTATATCCAATTGTAATCGCGTCACAAGACAGGCGAGGGAGCCAAGCAGTGATGAGGACTGGTGACTGGAAGAAGTCTCCCATCCTTCTTACGATGAAAAAGACTTTGCCAACACCTCACAGGAATGCAGGATAGGTTCCATCACTTGGACGTTTTCAGATGCTACAGGACATTTGGGTCAGTTTTTTTTGACTCCTGTTGGAATTTTGTTGAGGGAAGAGCCTGCGAATTCTCTACACCAAAATGGTTGGAATCTTGGCACTGCATTCCCACTTCAGGAAGCCCTGTAAGGGACAGTTGCCGACAGTTGGCAATGGATTCGCATGAAGACCAGAGTTATAGATACAGGACATACATTGACATACGTACCTTACAGATCCTTACAGTAAATTGCACCACATAACACTACATTATACCAGGCACATGACATTGACATTACATACATGATTTTCTATGGCATTGCATATACATATCAAATCATATCAACATATTTTCATGTTATTCCTTGCCATCTTTGCTGCGGCCCCCTTGAAGGACCGTAAGAGGGAGAAGCAGGAGCTCTGCCTGGGCTACCCTCAGATCCAGTCGTAAATCATCATTTTCCCCATGAAAGTTGCCATATTTTACGGGGTTACATACTGTACCACATTTTCAGACAAAACCATATATAATATTGGCTTTATATTTCCCACTATATCCTTAGGACATTATGGTTGGTCAACCTTGGTTCTATAATAATCTCTGTTTTTCTCAGACAATCCCATCTGTAGAAGTGCCATGGCCGAGCAGGAGCCTCCTCCTCCGGCCAAGTTCGATGACGACCATTGGGAGGAGACTCCTGCTGCTGGTAAGAGAACATCTGCAGTTGCTTCTTTGATTTGGTCATCTTGGTCTTGGTGTCCATTTGGCGAGATATTCAAAGTGCTCTCCAATTTTTTTTGCTGGTTAAACAATTTTGCTGGTTAAAGTCCAATTTCGTGCTGGTGGGCTACTTATTGTCAGTCTAATCCAATTCATGGGTGCCAAACCCCCGGTTTCAGAAAATGTCAGCATCCGGCAGATCTGCACTTTTGGAGGAGCCACGGTCCCGAACAAAGCTGAAGCTCTTTGGAGAAGAATGCAGTGATGAGTTGTTGGGTCCTTAGATCATGACCTCAAAGACCTCATACCTGGCAACTTTGAAAGTAAAGACTTTGGTGAGAATCCCACCATGCGGCGATAAATTGTAAACTGGACCCATAACTCACAGATGTCAAGATAAATGTCTTGCAGCTGGATTTAAATTGGAACTACAGATTCTTTGTACAGAGATTTTGCCGGGATTCTGGTTGGCTTACGTGCGTTTGTCGTGCCCTGCATTTGTATTCGAATCGCTTCGCGATGAGTACCGCCCGCACCCAGAGAGGAGCCTAAATTGGGCCGAAGTTGGAGCCAAGTGGTCGAGAAGTTGGGCCCGAACTTGGGCCCGAAGTTGGGGCCTTGTTGGCCGAAGTTGACCCCAAGTGGAGCCCATGTTGCGGCCATGAAGGATCGAAACGGTGCATTTGGACGATGTTGGGACGATCTGCAAAATGTGCAGATTGCTGTACCAGTGAACAGAGGATTGTTCGAATCGATCAGCTCCGCTCCTGAACTCTCACGCCTCGGCGCCTTCGGTGCAGGAGGATTTGCATGAGAGTTCATGTAAGATTGGCAAAGCCCCTAGCAGACAATCACAAATCAGACACCTATTGATTTCTCAATCTTCATCTACAAGAAGCTAGTATTTTGTCCCTTGTCCTTGGAATATTATGTGCACTGAATGTGAACATCTGTATGTATAACATAATATAATTTAACATAACATAATATAACATATTATAAACCAATATAATATACCATAATATGATATAACATAATACCTTGTATATATACATGCATATATATATATATAAATATATGTATATACATATGTATATATATATATAAATGTGCATGTATATATGTATATGAATATATGTATATGTATATATGTATATATGTATATATGTATATATGTATATATGTATATATGTATATATATATATGTATATATATGTATATATATGTATATATATGTATATATATGTATATATGTATATATGTAAATATGTATATATGTATATATGGATATATTTATGTATGTATATATGTATATATGTATATATGTATATATGTATATATGTATATATGTATATATGTATATATGTATATATGTTCAGCCTTCCCAAACGGATTGGCTGGGCAGCTGTGGGTCACAGGATGTCACAATCGAGTCCTCTTCAGTTAGTTGGTACTCTGCGCTCCACAGGCTTTGCCAAAGGAAAAGAAAAACAAACGCTTTAGCAACATTGGATGGTGGAATGCACAAACTGACCAGACAGCCCATAGGGTGGCCCGGTAGAGTGGCCCATAGCATTGTTTTTTGCAGCGCCACGGTCATTTCATCGGATAAATTTGTTATCTGAGCCACAGTTGAACTGAGCTGCACCGCCGAGTCGACAGATGTGGAAATATCCCTTGTCTGATGAAAGCCGGCGAAGCTTTGCTGGGTGTGCATGGGATGGAGGGACCTTTGCCGGATGTGTCCATTCAAGGGTTGAAGATATTGAAGGTAGTTAGCCTGGTCAGCCCCGGTCAGACCTTAGGCCGACTACCAAGTCCAAATTGAGGCGTCCCGATGTATCCAGGATAGGTATCCGAGCTGGTGATTGATTTGTGCAGCAGGTACATTCCCAAAGTTCTCAATGAAGAACTCTGTCGCAGCTTCTTCACGAAGATCAAGGACGCAACTTCTTTATTTGTGAAGACAGAAGATCAGCAGCGTCACAGAGGTAGATTTTGATAATGGGTCTGGGGCGTTGCACCCTGCTATTCTGAGGAGGATCCTGAAAATCAAGTGAATAGGCGGAATAGGGCTTTATCTTTGGACCTTTGCCCAGCCAATTTTTTTACGTTTGGTTTTAGCCTGAGGGAAGATTCAATCGCGGGCACCTGCCCACCCAAAAAGTTGGAAGATTCGGAAAGGGCATTCCACCTTGTCTATCCTTTTTCCCAATATACTACGCCCCCACCGAAATAATAGACACACGGGGAGGTTTAGTAATAGCGGGAGGGGATCAATGCGGGCAACCCAATGCCATAAGCCTCCCATTCGGGAATGGTTTCAATCCCAGCCATAAACAGTTGGTGATGACTTGGGTAAACATAGCATTGGGTGAACCCCACATTAGTCACCAATCGCGGGGCAAGGGAGTTCCCGCGACAACTGGAACAGGATTCCTGCGAGTGGAAACAGCCTGAAGGAGCCTTCGGCTCCTTGGAAATGGAGGGAAAGACGAGAGTCTGACTTGGAGGTCGCCAAAAGGCTGCTGTTGGATGGAGATTTAGATATTGAAATAGTTTATGTACCTGTTGTCGAAGGAAGCTTAGAAGTCAAACTTTCGACACTATGGACAGATGGAAAAGCAGAGGTGCGAAGAGTCCGAGAAGAGAAAGGAAGAAGAAAGAAGATCAGAGAAGAGAAACGTCAGAAGAAGGAAGAAGTCAGAAGAAGGCAGATGCAGGTGCGCGTATAGGTAGAAAAGTCGCGAAGCACTGTGTTTTTCCGATGTTTTGTGGCTCGGGAGGATCGAAAAGTAAGCTCGCTAAAGCGGCGGGTGCGGAGCCATCTGGAGAGACGAGAGATGAAAAATTGCACCCCGTTGTGGCGCGAAGCAGATTTCGAAGTCAAAATGCTAAAAACATTTCATGCTCGGAGCATGTTTGGAAGTTGAGATGTTCAAAAGGTGCACAGCGCTGTTGCTCGAAGCACATTTGGAAGTCAAAATTTGAAATGCACAGCGGGTTCGGAGCACTTGGAAGTTGAGATGTGCAGAAAGTGCACGCCTGTGTGGCATGGCGCGAATCACATGCCCAAGTCAAAATGTACAAAACACCTCAACGTCGGAGCACTTTTGAAAGTTGAGATGTTGAAAAAGCGCACGCTGTTGTGGCGCGAAGCACATTTCGATGTCAAATGTACAAAATAATGCTTCAGCTTCGGAGCTCTTTTGGAAGTTGAGATATGCAAAAAGTACATGCCGTTGTAGCGTGGCACATATTTCCAAGTCAAAACTGTTTAAAAAAACAGGCGGTCTCGGAGCGCTTTTTGAGGTTAAGATGTCGAAAAGGTGCACGCCGTTGTGACGCGAAGCAGATTTCGAAGTCAACATGTGGACCTCTTTTGGACGTTCAACCGGACCACGCTACACAACCACAACCACAAGAACAACAACAGCAACTACAACAGCTACAACTACAACCACAACTACAACAGTAATAACAACAACCACAGCTACCAACCATTACACACTACACTACAACTCCAACTCTAACTCCAACTACAACTACGGCCACAAATACAACTACAACTACAACTACAACTACAACTAGAACTACAGCTGCAACTGCAACTGCAACTCCACTACGCTACACTCCACTCCACTCCACTGCGCTGCACTGCACTGCACCGTACTGCACTGCACTGCGCTGCACTTCACCACACTACCCTACACTACACTACACTACCACTACACTGCACCACACTACAACCACAGCTGCAGCTACAGCTACAACTACAAGTCCAACCCTACTACACTACACTACACTCGACTGCACCACACTACACTTCCACTTCCACTACCACTACACTACACACTACACTACACTACACTACAACTACACGCACACCTACAACTACAACTACCGCTACAGGTATAGCTGCAACTACTGCTACAGCTAGAGTTACAACAACAACCATACCTACAACATTACAACATTACAACATTACGACACTACGACATTACAACATTACAACATTACAACTACAATATAACTACACTGAAACCAGAACTTGAACTACAACTACATTACATACACTACACCACGCTACATCCAGCAGTTGTGGTTGAGGTGACCACTGCAACCACTCCAAAAAACACAGCTCCAACCACCTTTCGTCCATCAGTGGATCGGCTCTGCCATCCATGCATCACGACAACTTACCTCTCCTATAGTTTCCTATTTTTGAAACTTCCGCCACCGCCTTGTGCGGTATTGCTGGTAAACCTGTTATATTATATATATACATGTATACATACTGTGTATATATATATATATATGTAGCTGTTCCATGATAAATTGAAAGTGCTACTGGTTCAAAGCCTAACTGTCCAAAAAATAAAATATTAAACATTTGCCCGCCAGGTTCTAAAGATGTAGGTGATCATAAAGGGTGTGTCAAATATGGTCCCTCTATTCTGCTTAAAAATATCCTTGAAAAAACATCATACCACACAGGTGTCATTGGGGAGTGAGACAAGGCCAGATTCCACGAAAGACGTGCTGGATGGTGAAGGGAAATTGCAAGTGCAAGTGCCCTTCTTCAACTGTCAACTAGCGAGGGAAGGTCTATTTTTTCCCACATGGCGCAGGGTTCTGGAAATTCCTCTGTCACAGTGAAGAGGTATCGGTATGGCGGCCTGGAAGTGCAACCCGAAGAATTCCCAAAGTGGATGCAGGGAACTTACGCGGCTTGCACTTCATTCCCTTAGTCCTTGAGGTGTGAGGTGTCATGGTTTGTGACAAGGTGGGTAGAGTCCAACCAAAACTTTGATGGTATTTGCCCTAGGACATGTGTTGGCTAATTCATGCTTTGTTACTTATCTAACTTCATTGATTGGGTCTCAGAATCGGATGGAATCGCAATGCGGCACCCCTATGACATTTGCCTGCATCAGCGTGCCTTTGAACAGTGGGGGCTGAAAGCAACCTGTGGTCCAACTCACTGGGCTTAGGATTGAGTTGATGGAGGTTGTATTGAAACCTTGCGGAATTGCGCAGAACGACTGGTTCGAGCCTCACTACGGCCCAAAGCTGACTGGACCGTTGAACGATGGCTGGTTGGTGTGCTGACCACATTATTTTTGGGTGGAAGTGTGTGGACGTGATTGTTATGGCCACCAACATGTTGAAACACGTTGCAGCTGGGACTCTGTTGACACTCTGTCATGCGAGGCCAAACTCCTGCAATTTGAACCTCTACGAGGCTAGGGACGCAACGCCAGGATCCAGTTGGGCTGCAAGCCAAATGTTCGCCTTCACCTGTCAGGATGGTGGCATGACAGTTGGCCAAGCACTGAGAAACTGTCACCACTGCTGTTGACTTGCTGGAAGAAACTGTCCCCCATGTCAAAGTGCTCGAAACTTTGGGAACGAAGACAAACTGGTGTTGCGGTCATGATCTTCTCTCTCCATTTTGTGGGATGTTCATAGTGCACCAATAGCATCCAATAGCTAAGGTTGGCACTCCGATGACGAACGCTTATTCCAAGGCAAGTTCAGAGATTGCAGGCCTGAACTCCGAGGTATGCGGTTGATAGAAGTTGGCATAGGAACAGGATGATTCAGGATGATCATAGATGATCCATAAAGCCACAGGCAAGATAGCGAGACTTTATTTTTGATGGCAGCTGGCCCACAGTGGATGGTTTCGAAACATGGAGCCTGGATGGTATGGTTCTCTATCAACCCAGGATGAGTCTCAATTGAACCTCCCAAGCGCTCCCAGGATCATCTCCCTCTCCTTGGGTGCCACGCGAAAATTTGAATTGCGACGGAATTGGCCCGAGGATCTGGGACCTGACAGCTGTTTGGGGGGGAAGTCACTGGATCCATCTTTCGTATCCAGGACAGGGAGGACCGCGTGCAACGAGTGGTTCTGAACACTGGAGACCTTCTAACTATGGAGGCAGTGGTTGGAGCTGTTGCTGGGAGGGCTTGTTGGGCTTCAATGGCTTCAATCTAATCTTTACCTGAGACTTGTGCATCACATGACTGGAACCCTGGAACCTGCTGTTGGGTCGCAAAGCTCGGTTGCTATAAAACCCCTCGCTGAGATGACTGGGCACAGGGGATGTTTCAGAAGCACTTTCAACATCGCGTCCCTCGTGAAGACGTTAAGGCGCGCGCAATGGAGAAGATGACGCCCCATGTCAAGATCTTTGAGAATGACTCGATCTTCTGAGGTTAAAGATGTTGATATGGCTTAATCATGTTTAAGGATTTTAATTGAAGCTTCAGATCTGCTTCTGTCGAAAGATTTCTGGCCGTTGCGCAGGAGCCGCGGATCAATCTGACCTGGCGCTGGGTCAAGAAACACATTCCTGACTGCCCCGCAGGGCGATCCAGAAGAGTCTGAGAATTTCACCTGGCAGTTTTGTTTTTAAATAAACTCCCAAAGACATGGATGGTGCGATGCGCAAGGCTTGAGCCGAACTTTGCTCTGGAAACTATGTATCTTCATGACAATTTATCAACATGGCTAGTCACATATAATAAGTTTTTCCTGAAACAAGAAGGCACGTTTTCAAAATTTTCCTGCAGCATGCAAGTTTTGAGCGCGGAATGCATATAAATTTGCCTTCCGCAAATCTACTGGCGACTTTTCATCTCGTTGGTGAGTCCTCGCATTCCGAAACGTGGTTTCGCTGTTGGATTCGGCAGCTACTCGGTCAGCACCGGCAGGTGCATCACGTTTCACACTTCTTGGGATCTGCGGCAGGTCAGGGCAAACTAGATTTATCTACAAAAGACAACACGTGATTTTGCAACCGTGAGTTTCCCCTTTCAATATAGACCACTGTTGGAACATTTACAACTTTCCGAAGCTGCGATGGTTTGGATCAAGAGTCCCTGCGAGTCCTGTGAGTCTGCGAGTCCCGCGAGTCCCGCGAGTCCTGCGAACGCAATACCTTGAACATTGCGGGACGTGACACGTGACTGAGACTGGACGTAGCCATGGCATCTAATTTTTTGACATGTCATTACAGCGGGTTGCTGTTTTTCTGGCGCCCATCGATTGTATTTTGAACGAAAAATGGAGGTGAAAAGGGAAGAACTGCATGGCAACAGGCCACATTCCCTTGGCACCTTCGGCCCAACGAAACGGGTGATTCCTATTGCAGTGGCTATGGAAGGTGCCCTTTTTTCCTCATATCTCGACTGGACTTGATTGAATACTTCCAATAATTGGGGTGAAGGAAAAAGTGCACCCTCCAGGTAGAAGGTTTTCTATTTTCTACTGTTTAGCTCGAATTGTTTGTAGATTGCAGTTTAGATTTCTGTGCGTCTGAAAATGGGGGATGCACCATTTGAATTGCAATCTTTAATGGGAACCAATGGGAAACATATTTTCTTTACCAGTA